TATTTATTATTAGCATTATTCTTCCGACGTCTGATTTCTTTTTAATTATAGGAAATGCGTTTTTCTAAGGTACATAAACTTTTGGGATTGACTCTATAGCCAATACATCCTTAATCGGTAACAGTCCGTGGCCATGGTCGTTTCGTCTAAACGAAGCATGTAAAAAGTACGGCAAATCAAAGCTTTGTATAGCAATTAAAAAGGATGACAAGCAAATAATGGTACGAACGAAAAATAAAGTACCCGGTAGACAGAGAAACGAATGAAAGAGTGAGAGACAGAGAGATAGTGACAGATGAAGAGTAAAGAAAATGTAATTGGAAAATATGTACATGCCAATCAATCGCACACGGACAAAACGACGTACAAACAATATTACGAGGTACGCCGGTACCTCATGCTCTACGGCCCTACGGTGCGCGATAAACCTCCATTTGAATACCAATAATGTATATTCTTTTGTTTTTTTTTATGAACGCGAATGGTAATACGGAAAGCGCGCGTATAAATACGTCGTCGGGAATGCAAGCGCGCGAGGTTGTACGTTGGACGATAATGCTACGGCAATATTGGAGAGTCCATGACGAAACGAGAAGCGGTTTTATACATATGTATGTATCCGCGGATACACGTACATACGCATGTGCGATCTACGATCAATTGGTGCTGGGTGCGCTGGATGAAAACTGTGCCAGCATAATCGTGCAATCGTGTTTTTTGATAAACGTGCAAGGGGCAACAAAACGTATCCTCGTATATTTACAATTACCCACATCGATTTGCCGTATCGATAATTTGTCGCCAACGTCGTCTCGTAACTTTCGTCTATTCTATTTTTTTAATCCCATTTTCCGAAACTTTTTTGTTTTCACCGTTTTATCGAGACAACGGCGACGCGACGAGAATTCCGATAGCAAACGTTGTCGTACACGTCTCTCATGGACGGTCCAGTATCCGGCACCGGAAACGTTACGTATCGGCATTACATAGAAAGAAAAAATAAAAAGGAACACAAGAACGAAAGTAGAATCGTAGGAGAAAAGAAAGGAAAGCCTATGTATCTCTATAATCATGTAACATACGTTAACAGCCTCTACGAAGTGTCGCAAAATAAAAATGCGTTACGAGGAGAGGGCACGACAAAGAAAAGCCAAACACGTTTGCTTGTAAGTACACGCGGAGAAGATTTTCTCTCGGTTCGGCGAGACGCATCTCTGCTTCATCGTTCGCGCGAGTTTCGCGCCATTTAGAACGTATCAATTACGCTGAACGAGGCTCGCTATACGCAGCGCAAAAAACAAACTTGGCCAGCGCGTTTAGCCGGCCAGCGTCGTTTTTGTCGTTAACGATACGCACGCAAAAAATAGTTTCTCAGTTTAATCGTGTTCGCTTGCCGGCTGCAGCAACAAAAGTGTGGTAAAAAATCGCATCTCCAAAATGGTCTCTCGCAGAGAAAAAACAAAACGATATGCGAAATGAAAAATGAAAAATTATATGTATGTGTACATATATGTATATATATATAGAAAGAGAGAAAACGATGAAATATAGGTAAGAAAAATCATGGCACAACTCGAGTGACGAGGCTAAGGGATACTCACTTTTTTCAGCTGCGCCCCAAAAGTCGCCAAAAAAGTGGAAAAAAAAACTTTCGTAAAAATTCGTGTCAACTTCTCACGTGGTAATTGAGTAAAGAATTAATATAAATATTCAATATATTTAGGCATGTCATTGGGTAGCATACTACTGATTATTATTTATCAACGTGGCCTCTTTTACTATTCTTTTGCTTTTCTTTTTTCGATCATGGGAAGAGAGATAGAGAGAGAATGGAGACGAGAAAAAAAAAGTACTTTATGAATTTTCGTTTTTCTGTTTCTCTGGTGAAAACAGGCACACGCGCACTCGCTCGTTCGTTCGTTCCCTCCCTCCCACGCGCTCGATTCCAATCGCACCCTCTGCTCTATTCGTAATATTTTTTATCGCTCTGCCGAGACACGTCGGTGGACAAAATTCTCTTTCGAATCGATCGTTAAATAGAAAAATATCGCTCTGGTCCTCGGTCGCAGTTGGTCGCAGAGAGGCGGGAGATGTGAGAATATCTTTTTTTTTTTATCTTATTTTCTTTTGGCATGCGCAATCACTACTCCAAATATGAAATAACTAAAGGCTCATGTCCACCTGCCCCCTGCCGCCGAGAGAAAGACTTTTCGATCTTTTTGCCTTCCCTTGGTGATCCCAAGTATACACGCGTGTTTCTCGATCCCAACGACAAGTATGACGACGACGACGAAGGAGAGGATGATCGCGATGAAAAAAACAGAAGAAAGATAGAATAAAAAAAAAAGAGTGAGAGAAGAAGAAACGTAAAGAAAGAGGACGTGGCCTCTCTCCGCGTGTCGTTCTTTCCCTCGCGGCACAAGGCATCGAGAGGGAAGACCTATGATAAAATGTACTACTTAAAAGAAAGCTAGGAAGGAAAAACCATAAGAGACGTAAGAAGAATGGGGGAGGCGAGGCAGGGATTTCTCGTGTGTGATTCGAACGTTTCGTGGACGTTTCTAAGAATATAAGAAAAAACGCGGCACGGACAGAAAATATTCACGAATTGCGTGTATAGAATAGATAAGGATGCAGATGTGTGTAAGGTGGAACGTTTTCGAGAGGAAAAATCGCTTTGTTTTCGCAACTCCAAAAAGTCACCCGCAAAAAACGTTAGCTCGATAAAAAATATGTATTATTTCTGTGTGTGTGTGGGGGGGGGGGGAGACAGAAATTTTCCGCGAGGGAGGAACCAGAGGGACGGCGTTCTTTCCTTTTTTAGAGCGCACGGTAAAAAATATTTCCGTCCCTCTTTTGTTCCCTTTTGTTTTACTACTGCAGCATCCACCCGCGCATACACCCACGCAAAAATCGCAAAATTCTTCGCAAAATACGCAACGTAGATATACGGCCGTGGAACGGAGCACGCCCGCCCGGTTTTCAGTTACCCGCGCGTACACCGGCGCGCCGAAACTAATCGGATTCCCGATCAGTTTCTCAGTTGTTGTCGATTTTATCAGCATCGGCCGCGCGGCGAAACTAACGGAGTATCGACTGAAAGGAATGCGGAAAGGGAGAAGCATGCGTTTGTGTCGGATGGGGTCTTTGTTCGGAGAAAGAAACGCAGGGTGTTCGTTAGTTGTACAACTTCTTGATACTCTGACGTTTCAACTACCAGTAACAGAAAAGAAAAGAAAAAACGATAGACGCGAGTCGATTTAAATACAAAGGAACATACACATAGTAAGGTATACTCGTTCTAGATATCTAGGAGAACGTTTAAAAATATGTATATATGTCGATACACGATATAAAGATGGTATATATAAAAAATATACATATGTATATATAGATATCGAATACAAAGTAGGTGGATCCAAAAATACTGATTGTCAACTTACAGAGAGGCAGAAGATGGAATAAATAGGTCGGTGACTGCATGCAAAGAGCGTGGGTGCACGTATATGTATAGACAGTGAAGAAGAGTAGAGAAGAGGTTCTGGTGTGATATCATTCCAACGAGCTCGGTTGAGTGCTAAGAAATTTCAAATCCCGTATTAACGATCCGTCGATGTTCGTCTCGAGCGAGGAGAGTCTCCTTCCTTCTTTCGAAAAATTCTCCACGCACGGACCCGGGACTCGTCGGCGACTCTCTCGACGTCGAGATCGACGCATCGACGATTTTCCGCCACGGGCTCGGAACGAAGACAATGATAATACAAAGATTGCATGGATATTGGTATTCAAATGTTTCGAAGTGGACGTCCTCACGCGGTAATCGTAGCGCGGGTTCATGGATATTCCGCTCGCGTATCGTCCGACTGAATTCGCGCTTCGCGAGTCGTTACCCGATCATCTCGACGATATCCCTTTTTACCTGGTTCGCTTTCCAGGCGAATCCTGACGCGTCGCTTTCTACTCTCGCATCCCGCTTACACTCGTTCACGCATTCACGCTCGCGCCGGCTCGACGCGATCTCGACGACGCCGAAGAGAACGAACGCTGTTCGTAATAGAAAAATTGAATTTGTACCGAGAGAGGTATCGAGATCGCGTGGAGAAGGCGCGATAACATGATCGCACAACTGGACGATCGACGGTGGGGTGCTTGCTCTTTCAAGGGTGCTCTCAGTGCTGGTGCTCGGCTCGGTATATCGCAATAGTGACGATTTAAAACACGGTGAATATATTAATACGGTGCGCTGCGAGATACGGTGCTGTTCCTGATACGACGCTCGAGCGGAAGAACGCATACGGGCCGATTCGCGATACGAACCACAGGTTCGAACGATTCCTCATTTATTGACGCTTCGATATCGGCATCGTCGATTCGTTTCGACGAGTCAATAGACGATCAATCGTTCCCGACGACGACTCGTTCCGTGTATGCGTTCTAATCATATACAGGGTGCGCATATAGTCGCACGCGCGCACTTCACGCGCGTATTTTCTACTAGAAGCGGAAAAATGGGATGCGCGTTCCCCTTTTTCAAGTGCCGATATTCTGTGCACTGTAACAGCGGTGCAAAGGCGTGAATTCCGTGTTTGTGCATAGGTGCGTAAATATCAGCAGGCTCGTCCTTTTGTCGCGCGTGACTCGCGCGCGCGCGCGACTTAACATGCGTGCGTGGTGGGTGCGAGATAAAAAAAAGGTGCCCGCATGAAAAATAATAATACTTTTTCAACCCGGTGCCCGTGCACACACTCGTTAGACGGCGGACGTACAGTACATGTACACGCGTGTGTGCCTCGCCATACGTGTACGCGTTACACTTTCCCAATCGATAAATGCGTTTAGAATAATATGATCATGGTACAGTCGGCGGTACTAGGCAGCGACAATGACAATAACGAACGAGTATATACGGCGGTGAACTTTTGTGCTTGACAATGTGCGAGCTTACACGGCAGGGTGCTTTCAGCAGTGCTTTTTATCGTTCCCGCCTCGCTTTGCCGAGTCTGCTCTCTTAGAGGAGGTGGACGGTCGGGACTCGGGATCGGTCGCTCCGCAAACGGGACAATGCGTGGGAAGAACCGGGAAGGGGACAAGGGGGGCGGGCGGTGGTTCTGAAACGAAAGAGGATCCTCCGGGCTGGTGGCTGTGAGCGCAAAAGGTTCGAGGAAACGTCGTTAGAGACGCGCTCGCACGACTTTTTTCACCGACAATGACGCCCGGCTGACACAATGGTCTGCTCCTCGCAACAAATGATACCGATTTTCCGACACCAAGGTCTTCGATTATTCTTGCCGAGACAAAAGCCTCCGCGTTTGTTCCCCCCGTCGTCGGAACGCACGCATCGCGTCGCGCGACGGCGAGGACAAAAAAGTCGTATCGACACGATTAACAACGTCCACCCTCGCCTTTTGCTTAATCGATCTGGGGGATTCATCGGTGTCCGGTCAGAGGGTGAAAAAAGTTGTATCATGCAGGCCGGAACGGTGCCGGGTCTTACACGGCACCGAATGGGGAACGGAGAGGATAGATTCGAAACGAAAAGCAAAACTTCGTGCATCGGCATGCCATTCATAGGATCACAGAGCGTTCTGATCCGTTGGGTTTCGGGAACGCAGACTCGGCGTCGGCTCGACGGTTTTCTCGGGACGGTGAGGAGTTTTCGGTCGGACTCGTGGTATCATTGAGGTGGATCTCTGGGAGAAGAGTCTGGTCAAGATCGAGGAGTTCGTTAAACAAACGAAGGCATGCTCTAAACATGTGCAAACAATAGGTAGAACTAAATTTTTAACTAAAGACAGAAGAGCCTTATATATCAGAGATATCGAAAGGTATATACGTATACGGGCGTATACATATATACGTGGTGTATATATATATATAGTGGAAAAAAGTGCGTTATATATATATAGATTTTTGGTGTGTGTGATATACATACGCTATCAGTTTTAATATGTAATACGTAAGCGTTTGATTGGGCAAGCTGCCGCTCCTCGTTCACAGACATTATTTCCCGTTCGACGTGATGAACGAACGAGGTGAAACGAGCGTATGATTAAATTTGAGAATAATGCTGTGCACGGGGTAGGAGGCGGTCAGCTTGGCCTCTAAATATCTTCGTGGCAAGAGTGAATCAACGAACTAAAGAGAGAAACGAAACATCTTTACTTGACGTAATAATCACGGTAACCACCAGAAAGAACATTGAGTGTAATGTAGTACATATCATTAGACAATCGATATATTACGTTATATAGTGCGAGTAAATCTTAAAAACTAGCTGTTCAAAACCTGGATCATCCTCCTGCAAATGCTTTAAGGAAAGACAAAAACACGTGAGTGAGTAATAACAATTACAGTATTAGTAAGTGGCGTGTCATTAAACTGGGGGTCGTCCTCGTTTTCGAAAGTCGGGGGCTCAGCATTATTATGATATATATATATATGGGGGCGGGGGGGAACAAAAACCAACGGCAACGAACAAAGGGGAGCGTTGCGATTAGGCCCTGTGAAAATGGTAAGAAAATACGTTTCTCTTGTTTCTTTTTTTCTTTCTTTTACTCTTTGTCGAATGTGCGTAGCTGAGCTCAAAAATCGATTATCAGCTTCCGAAAAATCCGTAGACGCGTGCACCACCTGGAAAAAATTGTCTGGGCCGCTCCGATCTTGAGGGGAGAAAAAGTTTCGTGGGGGGACTCGGGGGTGCCGTTGGAAATACAGAGTACAAATTCATTTGGGAGGTTCGTAGGTAGTCGCAAAAATTCCAAAAATATAAAATCTCGCCAGCCAAAAAATTTGGGCCAACATGATCTCTCGCGTCGTCTCGTCTCGCGCAAAGTCCCGTTGCAAAAAAGACTGTATGGGATGTCGAATCGGTGGGGTGCCAGTGAGGCGATGGGAAGTCAATGGTGGAGACCGGCTTTCAGCAGGGAAGAAAAAATTGCTCATCGTGCGCGTTCAAAAAATGTACGTTCGCGCTAAAAAAATCGCTTCTCGAAGAAGTTCCGTCGAACGGAAAAAAAGGGCCGCGCGTTCCTCCTCGATGTTGCCGCGACATGGTTAATTTACACTCGACAGTTCGTTTCTCGAAAGCGTGAACTGGAAACGCAAAAGTGGCCTGAGAGGAGAAGCTTTTTACGCACGTATTATACAATATAGAAATATAATGTACAACGCAATCGAACGAAGTCGGAATGGAATAGAGATACAACGATGTGATGTAAAATCTAAAACGGAAACACAGGATAAAACGTTGTCGAACAATAGAACAGAAACAAACTAGAAAGTGAAGAGAGTAAACGGAGAGGCTGTGTACAGGACCGAGCTAGAGACGAATTTACGTCGTTCACTTTGATCGAATCAACCAAATTGAATTACGCACATTCGCCCCTAGGCACGTGAGGAGGAAAGAGACAGGTTCGAAGAGACGTTTGCGGAATCTGAAATCGAAATATACATTTAATACACAGTTAGAACGGTCGTGACACGCGATGGACCGAACGTCACTCCGGGCACGACGGTAATAGGGCGTGTGATCGCGAACCCGCATCGGAAATCACGCGTACGTCTTCGGACTCGATTTTTGGCGGGCTTTTATATTTTTGGCTCTTGCGCGAACAACTGTCGCGACACATCACCTTCGCAAGAGTGTCTCCAAGGACGGGAAGCGCGCCGCTCGAAGAGCATCGCGAGATCCTTCGATCAACGGGACTTGGAAATGATAAATCTGACAATGAGACAGCGAACCGGATCATTTTCAAGCATTCGAACGACGCGCTTCGTCGGGCTCGTGTAAACGTAAAAGAGAATTGATTAGCGTCAATGATACATACCGTCCTCGTGAGTTCTGACCGAGATCGGAAAACTCTGCGGTCCGTCACCTACGCTGGTCCCGGCCACTACCCAAATCCGGTACTCGGTCCATTTTTTCAGTTCGTCCAACACGAATTGCGTGTCATTCAGTTTGATAACCTTTGCCTCCGAGTCGGAGCGTCCGCTCTCGACGACTTGCAGCTTGTAGTAAGCGATCTCTCCGTTCAATCGATCCTCGGGCGGAGGCTCCCAGGTTACCAATATGGAGGTCGGGCTGATCGCTTGTCCGCTTACATTGCGAGGCGGAGCCCCGGGGACTGTATAACACTCAGTTATAGGGGAAGGAAAACAAAAACGGAAAACTGTGGCAGGGGAGAAACGTCGTCGTCGGTCGCAGGACGATCGCGGCCCACGGCGAACTTCGAATCCGACGAATCGAGCGTCCGCGAAAATTCGCTTCGAACTTCCGCTCGATTTATTAATTTGAAAAAGAAAAAAACAAACGAATCTTTGCACGATTCGACGGACTCGACCGAGTTCGGAGTCGAGCAACGTTCGAACGCGACCGACAGAACGGGATTTCGAAACTAAAAAGGTTTACGTGACGACCGGTCGAAGGTTCAGACAAAGGTCTCATCGATCAAGGAAAAACTCATGAGTCGATCCTTGAACAGTCGAAAAATTACGTGATTAGAGAAAATTTCTAGCGGGCGGTACGTTTGACTCGCGCAAGGAGCAAACGTGGTTGCCCGTGGCTTTTACGATTCATTTTTAATTCACAAGGAAAAGACAATGAAAAACTGAAGAACGGACGTAAACCATACGTTATCGAGAATGAAAAGAGGTGCCCAAAATGCACACATATATCAATGCAGTGCTTAGTGCAATTTATATGTATGATATTTACGTATATATATAGATAGATATATATAAAGTGGCATCCAAAAACGGCTTTCTTATTTGCAACGCATGCAATCATTCTCACTCTCCCACACTTCACGGTTCAACGATACTCTCTATCTTCCGTCTTTCTCTTCTGATTTTTGTCAACCCCCCGTTTTTCAATCAATCCACGGTGCGAATCTTTTAGCCCATCTTCTTTTTACATCAAGGTGTCGCGAATTAATTTAGCTTACGCTACTTGCGGGAGCGTCTAGCGCTATGTAGCACACCTCCTACCTGCTGTGCCAGGCCGATTCGCGTCGCGTTCGACACGGGCGACGACCAGAGGGTGAGACGAACTGCCCTCGGACGCTCGACCCGCCGAGAACGACAGAGAATCGGCCTCCCATCGGCACTCCTCGCTGCGTGAATTCACTCCTCTCTCGTTTCACTTTCTCCGACGATTCTTTGCTCATTTGCTTACCGTACTGTTTCGTGCGGACCGGACACGGGATCGTCGTAGCACCCTCGCCCCTCTGACTCTTCGCCGCCAGCCAGATGTAGTATAGCGTGTTCGGATACAGCCCGGTCAAAGTGTAGTTCTCGGTCACCGGGATTTTCCGGTGATGTTTCTCCTGAAATCACGTTCCGGGAGTGCGTTATCTCTGGCTCCCGGCGAAACTCTCGACCCACCCTCGTGGACGTGTTTTACCTGTGCATAGGTATCGTTCCAATACAGCTCATAGCTGATGATGTTCTCAGCGCTATGAGCGGGCTTGGTCCACTGGAGCGTTACTTTGGTCTCCCCTATGTCGACCGCGGTCAACATCTCCGGTTGGCTCGGTACCCCTTGCTGCGTCTTTATTTGAATAGGTGTGCTGAGCGGACCCGGACCAACGCTCGTCAAGGCCTGAACGCGTATCGTGTATATCGTGTGCGGCGTCAGTTCCGAGATGGTGGTCAATTGGCTGTTGTCGACCATTTGGTGCTCCCAAGACGCCATCGGTTGGTTCTGGTCCGTCGTGTAATACACCTTGTAGCCCTGAGGACATACACGCTTAAATCTCTCTCTCTTTCCGAACCGAAGAGAAGAGGGAACTAACCGTCACTTGTCCGTTCGGTGTTTCTGGTTCGTCCCATTGTATGACCATTGTGGTGGAGCTCAATGGCCGGGCCTGAACCTTGCGCGGCGCAGTACCGGGTTCTAAAACGCAGAGACAGACGTTCTCTGATAAACCCTTTCGGCACAGACACATCTACGTTAGTCACTGAATAGACGCAGGTAAGAAAAAAACCCCGGGAAAGAACCATAAGAACCAAAACAAAGACGAAGTTCCAGAAACAAAGGACAGAGGTATCGATGATATCTGCGGTAAATCAGGGCTTAATTCGGTAAATGAAAAAAAGGAAACACGAGAGTGTGCGCTCGTACCGCGTTGCAATCGATTAGCTACAAGTACGTACTTGTACGCGAGTACGTGTGTGCTCGTGCGATGGACACGCGTGTGTTGTTCGTGTGCATTGAATGAACGCAAATAAAAAAGAAAAAAATACGAGGGATTAAAAAACGAAGGAAACCAAAATAGAGAACAAAACGTAACAGAACAAAACGAGAGAGAATTGAACGAAAAATAAACAAATTATGAATGTGTATTTATTTGTACATAGTACGTACGCATGTACAGCTACTGAAAACGATGTACGACCCATACTGGCATGCACGAACGCAAAAATGAAATTTCCCGAGATGGAAAGAGTAGACTATCTGCTCATCGTGCGGTATAAGTGCCGTGCGTATCTCTCGTCTGCTCGATACCGACGGTTCGACGGATGTAAACTTGACAAGAAATATTCATAGCACTCACGGTGCATAATGAAAATTTAATTTTTCCGCGTGTGCGCGCTGAACGGATCGGGAACCGTTCCCGGCGGCTGTACACGCGATACGAGAACAGAGAAATAAGTAATGTTTGCTACGGCACTCTTATAGTATATGATTGAACTTACTGGCACCTCCATTTGTCGATTCCGCTATTGAAAAAAAGATGACGAACAATTATTTTCAATGATCATTGATTACGCTGGTTATGCATGTACGTATGTATAACAATGGCACGTGAGTGAAAACACGAAGCCGGCTCCTCTTTTGCGGTCCGCGGCTGTTCGTGTTTTCACGAGGTGCGAAGAGTGCGCTACTTTATCGAGGAAAGGTGCAATTTCGCGTGCTGTCTCTCCGAGTATTGGGTTTTTCTCTTTCCCATCCTTCTCTCATTCTTTTTTTTTTTTTTGTTTCGGAAAAGAGACGGAGAAACGTATGTTTGGAAAAGGTGGTGGTCATAGAGAAAGGGCTACGTGGGCGTGTGTGGAGGCAAGAGACGGAAAATATGCAGGGCGAAAACGAGACGTCGAAGCGCGCGACGCGGGCGTACACGTCGTCCGTGACACAAAAACACTAACACAGATGTGTGGTGCGAGACACAGATAGAACAGGGGATTGGTGATAGGCGGTGGAAAAAAAATGTTTCTTGTCACTTACATGAATCAAATCGTGTGCGTCCACGGCGGACAGCATGGAAAAAAAGTATAGTTTTCTCTCAAAAACTCGTGGTCAAAACTTGTCCCTCCTTCGGTGGTGCAAAAAATGTATTATCTACGTGCAAAAATTCGTACGCGCCCAACGGCGACTAACGAGCTCTATGGTACCGAAAAAAGCTGTCCGTTCCTTCATTAAACTCACAAACGATCTGCGCGAATTCGAGTCGTGACGATTCGTTCGCAAAACGATGTCGAACGTGATCAATAGAGTCGAGTGAGTCGTGAGACAATAATTTCGTGACGATGATTTTCAGTTTTCGAGGCGCGCAGACTTTGCGCGGCGACGTTGCTAACTTGAAACGTTTCGCCGGTTCAATTTGGTCGATCAGTATTCGATTCGGTCTAGGAAATCGGTGAATATATTGACCAGTTAGTTGATGGAATCGACCGAGAGATCGAACGAAATCGAACCGGGCTTTAAAGAGAGAAGCAGAAATAGTAAGTAAAAAGAGTACTGACTTGTCTCGCCAGTGGTGACTGTCACCGGGGCACTCGGGGGACCACGCCCAATCGTGTTCACGGCTATCACGTAGAGCTCGTACTCGGTGTAAGGGCTCAGACTGCGGACGTGATAGTACATGGTGGTGATGCCCGATATTTCGGCGAACGCCTGATTTACGTGTTTCGGTTTGTGCTGTATCACATAGTATTGCTGTTTGTCCGGTTCCTTGTGGGACCAGCTCAGTTTTACGGAGGTGGCGGTGATGTCAGACACTTGGACGTTCTCCGGTGCGCTGGGCAGAGCTGAAATTTATACAATATCGCGAGGTCTGATTTGGATTCGGATAGACGCTCCCTCGTCTCTGACCGCACGAAATTACTTTCTCCGTGTACGCGATGAAACATAACGAATCCTCGAGGCTTCTAATCGGTTCGCTCAAACTTAGCAAGAAGCGTTCGTCGAAGTTCGATCATGAATCGCGGCAAACGAGCGAGCATCAGTTTTGTCACGTGAACACAGAGGCGGTTCTTCGGTGCTCCATTTATTCGCGGGAACTAGTGTAGGTGCTTTGTCCCCGGGTCTTTGAATTGTAACGCATAAGCCGATTGATTAGTCATGGAAACTGTACTGCCGCCACGGCTCGTTGTGTACCTCGGATGGGGATCACAGGAGGAACCCCGTGATTGATCGTTTTACGTTATATTACCGCGGGCTCGATGGCACACGGTAATGCGATCTCCCGAGGATTTGCACGCGGTCTCGATCCATTCCGATCGTGTCGCGCGCCTATTGTAGTAGGGATGCGATACGAACATTGAACTTTCACCATCGACGTGGCTTCGATGACACCGAGGTCGCTGGCTGCCGTGCACGTGTAGTTGACCGATTCCTTGATGTCGGTGAGTATCAGCACGTTCTTGCCCACCGGCAGATTGTCGTCGGGGGTGAGATCGGTGGACGGACCCTTCCTCCACTTCACGAACGGCATAGGCGAGCCTACCGCGACGCAGGTCAGGTTCAGAGAGTCGCCCACCATCACCTCGCTCACTGCTGGCGGTGGAATCGAGAACGTCGGCGCTACGCGACGAACTGAGTCGTAAAACAATAATTTTTCATGACATTTTCTAATTCCTCGAAATTCGATGATTAAGAGGCTAATTCATTTCAGTTAGTAACATCTCAGGAGCTCGTATAATTATAGGAGGAGGTTGACGAATCGATTACGCGATACTTGAATCTTGTATGATCACCGTAAAATATTCCACGACTCCGTATAATATAATATTTGTAGCCGCGTGAACCCTTTGTGCCGTTAGCTTAGTTTAATTACGTTTTAATTACACGGCATTAATTTTAATTACAAAACGGTGGTAACACCGATGAAGGCTCGCAGTTTTTGTAATGAATTTTCGTTAAAGCGGCTTCTTGAGATTCGTCTCGAAGGTGTTCCACGTACCTTTCACGTATAAAATCGCGGACTTTGAGTACTCGGTGCCGACGGAATTATTCGCCACGCACTCGTACGTGCCTTGGTCGTTCACGTCAGACTTCATGATTTGCAACGCACCTGGAAAATAAATACGACTAAATTATTTACAACCTGCAAAGATTCTCTCTGATCTCTCACGCGCCGCCTTCGCTCGTTCATCGGCGACGGTAAAAGAAAGTTGTGTTAAGAAAGTTCGATATTTACTTTTATTTTCTTTACGGAAAATGAAAGTTCTTAATTTTAATTATTGTTTAGTTGAACTTGTATTAAAATCGTATATGTTTTGCAAATGCTACCGAGCTACTTTGAGGATGTATTGGCTATATAGTCAATCTCAAAAGTTTATGCTCTTTAGAAACGCATTTTTTAAAAAGAAATTAGATGTCGGAAGAACATTGCTAATAATAAACAACAACAAAAAATTTTCGATTTTTCCGAGATTTTTCCAAGGGGTACCCCTTCAATTTCTTCCAAATTTTCGTTTTTGGCCAATAACTCTCAAACCGTTGAATCTACGGGAAAATTGCATACGACCTTTTTTGTAGAGGACGACGAGATCTACAATTTCCATGTAAAAATTTTTCGCTAACGTCAATAGTTAACGAGTAATTTGCAAAAAACTGTTTTTTTGTTTTTCGTCAATAACTCGTTAAATATTAATGCTAGCGGAAAACTTTTATACAGAAATTGTAGATCTCGTCGTCATCTACAAGAAAGGTCCTATGCAATTTTCCCGTATCTCCAAGGGTTTAGGAGTTATTGAGGAAAAACGAAATTTTTTTCCAAAAGTTCGCTGTTTCGACGTTGGGATGGTCGGATTTTGTCAACATCAATAAAATGCGAAATAATCATACGTAACTCGTTAAATATCGAAGTTAGAAGGAAAACAACTTTTATTTGAAGCATTTTTCGCAATTTTGAAGAAGAAAATTTTTCGTCAGCGTCAATACTTAATTGGATATTTCCTTCTATACTTTTTAGCACGTAGCTATTTATTATTAGCATTATTCTTCCGACGTCTGATTTCTTTTTAATTATAGGAAATGCGTTTTTCTAAAGTACCTAAACTTTTGGGATTGATTCTATAGCCAATACATCCTTAAGTAGGAAAAATATTCATGCCTCGATCTCGATATTTCACGCGGTTCGTCGCCGTTCGCACTTTTATCGATTTTAATCTGCTTACTTGAACTTTTCCCCGGCACGAGGTTTCCCGACGAATCGCCAATCGCGAAGTTCAAGGATTACGGGATACCAGCGATGCAGAAAGTGCGCGGGGTAAGACGAGAACGTAGAACGGTCGAAGGGGCGATGGTGGTACTTTAAATAATCCTCGCGGCACTCTTTCGTTTCGTTTTTCCAGCGCTAATTGAGTTCGCAGGCGGGTCGAGGAACGCGCCGTGCTCGGGGGAAGCTCGACGCGAGTAGGGGAATCCGTTTCAAAGCCCCCGTTACAAAGCCCGTCTATTCCACTTTCTGTTTGGCCTGGCGGTCGGTTCGTGCGCGATTTCCATGATGCATCAACCGAGTTCCCTTACCCGCGTGCGATATACACCACGATGATGAACTGGCTGTTACGAGGCGTGTGATTATCTCCTTCAGAGACGTCACTCCTTCGGTATAATTCAGCCGCCTTGGATCCGTCCGCCCCTCTAACTGCGTTTCTACACCCTGTTCCCTGCGCGCGACCCTTCTTTCGCCACGCCAACCCTTCCTTCGTTGAGTAAACACTTCGGATCAACCGGCTTGTTTTCCATTCCGTCCCAACGTTTTATCGAACGATAATTAACGCGGTAATTAATAAAACTGCGTCCTCGACTCGAAAGGGCGCGGCTCACGATCAATTCCGGTCGCGCGTAGGTTTAAACATTTCCCTAGTCCGGCCGTATGGATTTATAGGGTTTCGTTGCAAATGCGACTTTGGCGAGAAAGAAAGAGACGGAGCTGGGATTCGAGGGTGGAAAACGTTCCATCACGAGCGAGAAGCCAGGCAGTTTGATATCGCGTACGATCGGAATACATAATCGAGGCTCATCTACAATTTCCAGTAAGCTGACCAGGAAGGAACGCGTGCTCATATCGTTATCCCATCCAGTCACGTGCACGTTGTTAGCGCGACTGCGAAAAACTTAAATCGCCGCCGACGACCAAACCGCTGGAAACCGATGCTCATCCGCCGAGCCGGAGATACACAATGTACGACGCGGGGACCCGCCAGGAATTTCTTCGATAATTCACCGCGCGTTCCATCCGAAATTTTACCGGGGATAGAAAAACTCCGGAGGTGTTCGTCGAGGAATCTGCGCGAGTTCAACGTATCGGTGATCGAAGATGAAGAGGAACGTTGGTTCATCGAGGGACTTGTACCCGGGAAATTTAATGAATTAACAATTTGCCACGGTCGTCTGAAAAATTCTTTTCTCTTCGCCGAAACAGTGGCACGTCTCCGTCTGGACCCGGGAGGCGGCTGGGTTACAGGCGACGGGAACACGTCCCGACATAAATATGTACAGAGATATCGGTGTGCCTCGCCTACGGGGAAAACGTGGCAGCGACGAGAAAAGGGCGAGTAGCGAAACGGAAACGTCGAAACTATTTGCGTCTGTTTACCCGCCAATATTGAAATATCTTTCCTTATATTTAATATCGCCGGTACGGCGCATACGCAGAATATACGCAGCGTGCAGTGACTCGTAGTTTATTCGGTATCGCCTATTTCGGTGCGTCTCTCTGTCTGGCGTCGGATGGCGGCGGTGTATGGATAAGAAACGAATACAGGTGGAACCCGATGTGGGCGCTGACTTCGAAAGATGAGCGCGTTCGATTCGATCGAGATAGAATGCAAACGGAAAAATATGTTTACCCGGAGGCTGTACAAGCTTTTCGTTCCGTGGATGCGACCCGGCGATGCTCTTTTCCCGTCGCGTACAAAGAGGAGTCGCGATCGGGAAGAATCTTCGCGTAATTCGCCGACGTTTTAATTGCTTTTCATAATTACGGCTGGCCGCGGTGCTGTATCGACCGCGTAAAACAGTCAATTATAATTATCGGGGGAACGTTGCCAGGCGCGGGCTTCGATTCGAGTGGAAAGCAAAGGGGAGAGCGAAGGTAATGGCTCGTGGATCGCGATGCTCTTCCAACCGGACCGAGCCAAAATACAAACAGAAAATTTGTTTACTTTACCAGTCGCGTTCTCATTGTTCTTGACAACGTTCTTCACGATAGAAAACTGCGCCCGAGGATTAATTATCCAGCGGCTCGAATCCAGGATGAATAACCACGCCCGTATTATCGTTTTCGTCTTCGATCAGTGAGTAACGAAACTGGAAACGACGCGAACAATCCGCGTTCTCGTCTTCCCGTGTAAACGTTCCACCGTTTCAGAAGTGCGTCGCATTAACGTCAGAATCCCGTTTCGCAAATATAAGAGAGAATGACGGCAGACGAGAAGATTATGCGGGCATGAAACGTCTTTGCGCGTGGATTCGAAGAGGTACGCCCGGCGAATGCGTCGTGCCGGAAAAGGAAATCGAATTACCCGTTGACGTTTCCGCTTCTCCTTTTTGCCCGTCTATTCGCGCACGCCAAGCCGGAACGAGCCTTTAATTCGCGTGCAAATTTAGCGACCCGTTTCGTTGTTTCTTGCGGTGAACCGAAATTAAAATTCCTGGACCGGACCAATTTTCTGACACGTTTCACCCGCGCCGAGTTTTTTCCGACCCCGTGGAATCCAAGACCGTTTTCTTGCCAGAATTTGGATCATCTCAGCGCCTAACGAGACGGTGAAGATTTGACCGAGGCCGTTTCGAAACTGTCCCCGAACGAAACGGATGCCTGCACCGAAGGTAACGCGTCCGTGAACGACAAAGGGTGGACGAGCGAGAATTTCGGCGCAGGTGTTTCGCCCCGGGCTCGTTTCGAACTCCGTCCTCGTTTCCTGTACGGCTCGGCGAACTTCGGTAGCGAATATTTTACGAACGTCGGAGTCAAGACGCTTTCACCCTTGCACCTACTTAAAAACTACCCGCGCCACGGCCGTTTTTGCTCCCGATCGTCGAGAGTTTCACAAGAGCGCGTCGTAACGTTCGCCCGGACGGTTTCCCGTTCCATATGCGTGGGCGCGCGGTCGTTCGGACGATTTCGAGCATTCCGCGACGGGCGGCGCGTTACCGTTACGAACAATTAGCGAAGTTCTCGGAACGATCGGGTCATTACGACCCGAAGTTAAGAGGGAAATCTAGACAGGGAAGAAACAGCGACAGGGACTGGCCTGGAAAGAAGCCGGGAATCCCAAGGCAGGTGTTAAGGAGCGACGCAAGTAGCTCCCGGGCTTGTTTCGAAGTTCAAGCCTTGCTCATCAAGCCTCGGCGAGCTTTAATGCTGGAAATTTTACGAGTGTTGACGAAGCGTTAACTGCCCGCCCACACGGAGCTTTTACTTTGCCTTGCTCTTTCCACCGGTTTACGAGGACTGCAAAATATAATTTAACGATTCTCGATGCGTTGAACCCCGAGGTTCTCTCATCGCTCTCCGTAATTTCACCGGTACCGCCTTCGTTGTCCTTTGAGTCGTTCCTCTCGGCGGTTTCACGAACGCCAGGCGACGCGACGCGTAATTCGATGTGCCCCGGCCGAGTTTCGGCGCGATCTTTCCTCGCGAGACAAAGCTTAAATGAAACGTTAAATTGGTTTATCTCGCGTGCCGGGGAATCTGCGTCGGTTTAATTCTCTTCAATTATCGTAAAGCGTATCGCCGGCCAAAGCGGACGTTATTTTAATACGCCGCACCACGTCGCGCAGTCGGCTACCTGCCTTGTCTAACTTTAATTAATTTGTCTCGTTTACCGCGATAAACGGAAATGGAGATCTGCGGACCGCATTGTCCGAGTTTAACGCGGCTTGTCCCCTCGCTGCTTTCGTCGTCTTCCGTTTGCTTTGCTGCACAAGAATTTCGGAATTACGTTTCCGCGCAGATGACCACCGCCGAAAGAGACCGCTCTGACCCGTCGCACCCCGCTGGTTTTCATTAATTTTTTCGCGGAAGACGACGAAACCACCGACCGATTCTCGTTTCCGAGCACGCTTTTTTCCGCCATCTCGGGAGTCCAACGTACAGGATCGCGCGAAAATTTCCCAAACAATGCCCCGGAACACTTTGCAGTTTCGAGTGCTGCCACTCTGTAATGACCAAAGACGGTTTGATATTATTAACGCAACATCGCGAGCGTAGGTATATACCTCTCTCGTAAATGAATGCAAACAATGGCCCGGGCACAGACTTCTAACAATGCCCACCTACCGAGAACGTTAGAAACGGTTCCGTTAAAATTTCAACGTTAACCTAATGTACGCGTCGACAATAGTGTAGCAGCCAGTGCGAGTTCAATTCGTAAGGCATTTAAATAACAGCCGGCGGCAAACCACGCGTCTCCGCCTTTTTCACCGGATGTCTCGCAAAAATTTTCGAAAACAATGGTAACCCCTTCGTGCGCCAACACCCGCTCGTATCAAGACAGATCGTAAAACAACAAACGAACAAAGTCCATTATAACATCTGTTCATTTCAACGAATGCTCATTTTTCATTAAAATCGTTGCATGAAAATTTAATTTTAAGTACAATTTTATCGAAATTTTATTAAATAGTGATAAATACGATTATTTCATGAATTACGAATTATTCATTTATTTTCAATAAAATTGTATCTGAAACGAAGGATACGAACGAGGCTATTATTCGTTCGATTTTTTCGACGTGCAACGAACGTGTTCCTTTGGATTTTGCGACTGACGTTGTTTCGAAAAATTGGAAGGGCTGGCCTCTGGGCGAACGATAACACGGTTGCACGCGGAAAAGGGATGTATGGAATAAGGAAAGGCGGGACTGACAAGTTCGAAGCGGAAAGCATTCCCCTCTAGTCGCATCAGTCACCCGGTCGCTCGCTTGTTCGCTTAGTGGCTCCCTTAACGTTATTCGCGTGTCTTCTCCACCCACCCCCCCGCGTCAATACCGTTAGAAGCCGCCACCGCACCGCCGCCGCCGCCATACGGCACCACCGCTACGTATATCCCATGAAATATACGGCTTAATGTATTGCAAAAAGTACACGACGGGGGCAATGTACTTGCCGGCGCGGCGCGTATCCGCGTGGCGTGTTCCGCGAAAAAGAAAATGGATAGCGGAGAGAATCGCGAAAACCCGGCCGCGGAGAGACAAAGCGTTGCTCGTGAGTCACGCCTGGTAACGCGTTTAACCCTTTAACACGGGCAAAAACCGTGACCGTAAATATATTCCTAATTGAGATGCGAACACCTGTCCAGGTGTTGGATAATGCGACCACGGTATAAGAAAGAACAGTAGGCTTACCCACGGTGTCGATTATATCAACCGTTACACGAAAGGGATTGTATGCAAATAATCTAGGGATTTATTGCAAATAAATGCAATCGATTTACCAGTGGTCAACAGTTGGGCGGACCCGATCATTCCGTTCGACGCAGGTCGAACTCTCTTCGTGGAACCCTCGATAAGACGTCCGCGCGTGTTTCCACGTAAGGTGCAGACGGCACTGCGACGAGCACGCACGCGATAGCTCCGTTTATACGTGACACGCATTCGTAGGGTCGACGCACGTGCTGCGACCGGTACGGCACGGCACGGTGCAGCGTGCACCGGTTTCCCTACACCGGGAAGACGCATCGCGATTCGGAATGGAAGCTCGCGGGATTTCGGCTGATATTCGTGGCATCGAACCGGAATAAATTTCATGTTAATCGCGAGCCGGAGACGAGATCCCGAAAATTTTATGGCCACACTCCCAGACAAAAGTATAACTTCCAACGAAATAACCGACGAGCTCGCACGAGAATCTACGACGGATCGTCGGACGACGGCAGATCGATCTACTCACGCTTGTCAATTCTATTTCGTTGTAGATCCTCGGTTCAGATGAAACAATCGAGGTAAGATCTTTCATCGTATCCTATCACTTCTAACCGGGAGTGTACAGCGTAGGAACCGCTTTCAGATATATGCATAACGCGTGTGCACGTAGGTAGTACACGATACAGGCGAACGATACTAGCGTGTATGCAGCCAGCTTTCCCTACATCTAATGTATACTTTTCACGTCGCGGCAAACTGCGCCGGTCGCCGTAAAGATAGTCGGGCAAGTGCACGCCGGTATTACGTGACGTGCCGCTCGATAATGATACCGCCATTGCGATAAAAACAAAGTGAACGTTATATATATATATATATATGTACACACGTTTGTGTGTGTGTGTGTGTGTATATATGTGTGTACACGGTTTGCGCTAGTACCCGCTACGGAAAAATAATGATAATAGGTTACGTCGTGCGTTAGCGAAACAACCTTGGGGGCTCTATATAGAAATTGCTCTCGTCGACTCGTCCGCTCGTTCGTTTCGCCCCCCGCCGCTCGCTCGCGCTCTCGCCGCGCTATCGCGAATCGCGTTCGTGAAATCGCGGCTTCTTATTAACCTCGTAACGATGAGTTACTATGGGGTGGAGAGTTACTTTTAATAAAACGTCTATTCCCGGGAATAAAAAGCGAATATGAATCGCGGATAGGCAAACGGGTTTAATGGTCGCACTACTTTCAGAAGTCATCGACGAATTTAGAATTGAATGACAAACTGTGCATCCGGTTTTGATTGAAACGCGACGTCGAGTGTCAAGACCCAGTGGGCTCTATTTTCGTTCCCCGTTTCCATGGAGAACAGAGAAGTCGAGGACCCGTGTACATTTTTTCCCCGCAGGATTTCGAAGACCACTTGTGGCGAGCTATGGCCGCGGCATAAAATTTTTATGGAGAGGCCATCGCCGGGTCCGCGGTCGATCGGAGGGAGATCGGCTGATCGTTTCATCGGGTTCGTTAACCGAATCGAGAGAGGAGCGCCCCGTGCAGTAGCGCGGGTCGCTTTATGCGCCGGCATTAGTTATCGACTTGTCCGGAGGAACGAGTACACGCGGTACAAGCGTCACCGGGAGAATAACGAGCAGCTGACCGTATCACGGCTGCGTTCAAACGCGATTCGACCCGATTTCGAGGGGACGATCGAAACGCACAGCGATTTTCAAGACGAGTCCCCACGTCCCCGGAACGATCCGATTCTGATTCGTCTCGCTCGACCGGGAACAATTTCTACGCATCGTAATTTGACCGCTGAAAAACCGAATTATCGAGCATTTTTCGAACCGCGGACAGGATCGATCGAATCTTGATCGTTTGGTACTTTGATCGAAAACGTCGGGACGAGACGCGAAGTGCACTTCGCGAGCGAAGCAGACAGAGCAGGTGCGCGGTCTCGGCAAACGAGATGGATGCGCTGGATGTTCCCATATCGCGTGACCACTCGATCAACGCTACCGCGGGTTGACAGTGACTTACGCGCTCTGGCACTCGACGAGATATGACACGCGCCACTTCGCCCTATTGTTAACTTCTGCATCGCGGCTAAACATCTTCAATCTATCCTACCCATCCATATATTTTTTCCACCCGCGCGACTCTCGCTACTATTCTGTTAACAGCTTATCGCGTTCCTCGTCAAATACGACTGACGCTGACAGCTCCTCATGCATTTTCTTATCATTACGTTATATGTTCCGCTGTTCCATTATCAGAAAACGTTACGTTGAACATGAACGAGGATCCAATGGCAGATCGGTGAAACGAGTGCAGCCACGCTCGTCCATTACGACGCAATTATATGTATATTAAATCCGTGGTGATTCGCTTACCGGAGTCCAGAACCGTGTACCGTGGGTTGGTCGTATCGATGGGCAGCATGTCTTTGACCCAGGATATGATCGGGGGCGGTGAACCGACGGCGGAGCACTGCAGCACCGCGTTATGACCCATTTCGACCACCTTCGTCGTCGGCGCTTGAGATATCAACGGGAAACCGCTGGGTAATTTGTCGGCTGCAACAGTCAAACAGATAACGTTCATGATAAATTATCGAAAAAAGAATCGTCGCATCTCGTCGAGCGGAGACGACGTCGAAAATGTTTCTATTTGCGTGAAAGAGCGTCATGGAAATCGAAGCTTTCGAACGAAACGTTTGAAATTGGCCGCAGCGCGTATTTCGCGTGGAATCGTCGAGGTCAGTCCCGTAGGATCCAAAGTTAAGGGAAAGCCATTGGAGGGACGCGTCCCTCTTACTCCGGGCGCCGAGAAACAGAGGCTTCGTCTTCTCAAAGACGGTTCACCGATACCGCTAGATGCGACCGGATACGTACACGGCCGTGTCCGAGAATAGAATCAGAATTCAATATACTGGAAAAGTTCGTAAAACGGTTCATGGAAAGAGATAGGGAAAAGGACGGATGGACGGCTGCTAGGTCGATACCTCGAAATTTCTATTCTCGGACGAAGTTGATCGATTTATTCGCGATTGTCTGGACAGGACTCGAGAAGACGAGAAAAATACGAACGCTGCAACCGGGCGGACGTCAAACGGTCTCGTGTAGATGAACTCCGTTGGAATTCCAGGTTTTTGCATAATGCTTTTACGAAAGTAAAAATCCAACGCTCGTCGGAAAATCAGAATTTCCAACGGCGCATCGGGGGCTGCGCCGTAACGTTGTCGATATCGCGTCGCTAAGCATGCCGGATAAACTGGAAACATCTACGAAAGTTAATTCGCCGTAAAGTCAACATTTGTCGAGGAAGTTGGTACGTTGGGCGGGGGTACGGCGACGGGTTTCTTATTTTCTTGCTTCGCTGAGCCACGAAATCGCGAATAACGAAGCCGAAGGCCCCTGTCGTTAGAGAGACCCGGGGATGAGATTAATTTGACTTGTTTTGCGGCGCACGCGATACAAGCCACATTACCCTCGTTCTTCGCGTAATTACGACGATACTGCGTTAATCCTCAGGGTGAACTCGTAGTTAAATTTAAGTTCGAGGATGTTGCACTCCAAGTTTCGAACAACTTTCGCGCGGCGGAGTCCTGGTTCCATTTCAATGGGGCTCACGCGCCTCGAGCTCGACTCTTCTCGCCAATTTTTCTCCGGCGCCTCCTGCTCCTCCTCCTGCTCCTCCCCCTGCTCCTCCTTCTCCTTCGCCTTCCTTTCTTGTTTTAATTAAAAATGTACCGATAATTGCGACGCGTGGGATTAATTAAAGATCCGTTCCACTTTCCAGCGGAACTTAACGTCATCATTACGTCGTACGATCTTCGTCGCCCGAGATAATTACAGACCGCGTCATTTTCAAAGTGCCTCTCGTTCTTGCTACACGTTCGCGATTCTCGTTTCGTGGAAGAGAAGATCCGTTCGATACATTTTTCAAATTGAATGCAGTGGTCTCGGAAACCAGAATCGATATCCGTGTTCTTCGAACGCAGTCGACGTCAGCCGGGAACTGGGTGAAAGTTACCGAAGACTAGCGATCAAACTGCAATTACCATCGGCGTGGCGGCGGCACAGCAGGCACTTGGCGAATCGCTCTTTTATAATCTCGTCAATTAAAAGAGCAATCGGAACTCGGCACCCCGGGCTTCGGCCAACTTTGTCTAGTCTACTCTCTTCATAAATACGTTATAAGTCAGTAGAGAACCTGTTGGATACCCTCGCGTGTCAGCGAAAGGAGGGAAACTTTTCCCCGAACGATCTACGCACCTCTTTCGCTCGACCGGCTCGCCTTTCTCGTTCGAACCCTTGAGACCGCGAACGCTTTTTCTTCCTTCCTCATTTCGCGACGACGTGGATGAACGTTCTTCCGATCTCTCCCAGCTCGGTTAACGAGCACGATTAAGACGCGCGAATCGTTGGCGTTTTGGTAGCCGCGCTCAACTAAGCCGGAAGGAAAGGGGACGAGTTCTGTCAGATTCACTCGACGTGCCGTGTCGTTCCACGGCAGCGTGGAGAAAGAGGTTCGCGTAGGGTTCTTCGGTACTTTCAGCGGATCTTCTCCTATTGTTTTCTTCGCCGGCGCGGCTTCTTTTGTCCTCGTTATCGTCCCGAGTTATCCAGGAAGGCGGCGCCAATTATATCGGCGACCGTGAGGCGTTCACGGTCGACAATAGAAATCGCCCGCAGACCTTTCCCGCCCCTCGAATCGTCCTGACGCCGCGCGGTGCTCGCTCCTGCCCTCTCGGCTTCTTCCCTCTCTCGCGACAAACAATTCCTCTCCCTTTGCCAACCACCCGTTGACAATACGACCCGGCACCGAGAACCTTCTCGGTAACTCTATTGTCCCTGTCGATTCGCGGATTGCCTCTTCTTCCTCTCCGAACGAGCCCTCCTTTCCGATTTCACGCTACGAGAAGTACGTCGCGGTCCACGGAGTTCCCGGTGAAAAACTCGGGACGGCAAAAAACTCGCGGTTTCTTCCACCGGCGAGTTTCGTTGCTTGCCGTTTAAAACTACGGACTATGTAAATCAGTGAGGAAGAAGTTTCCGGCCACGTCCGAGAGATCGCGGAAAGACGGATCCATTCGTTTTACCAGAAGTCGGCTCGGATAGCGACAAAGCGATGGATTTTCCCCGGGCAAGAATAAAGGGAAGGCGACGCGCGAAGATAGCCGAGAGAATCAATTTTCGTTTCGTCCTTCTCGACGCTCCTCGGGCGAATCGTAATTTTAACGAGACCGAGACGCATCATCGAGCAACAGGTACGAACGGACTAGACATTTTTTAATATATATTTACATGATTCGCCGGGAACGAGCCGAATGCAAAACGATTTTAAGGTCGTCGATCTTTCGAATCCACGGATTTCCGAAATCGCAACGCGGATCTCGGTAAATTCTTTGAAATATCGAGGCGTCGAGAACTCGAATCCCGGAATCAGCGAACTTTTGCACCCGCGCGGGCGAAATCCTTCCCGTGACGTGATACGGAAATAATAACGCGCTCGGGAATTTAAAAATCGCCATGAACAACGCCCAAGAAAAAAGTATATTGTTAAAAAAGAAAACCACTGTTTCTCGTTAAATATTTTAGAGCAGTGGTCCATCTCGTTTCTCGCCCTCGTACTTCGAACACATTCGCGTAATCGTGTTTCTCGTCGAATCGTAATTTATCTTTACATGGAAAAAGTGTATGCTCAAATGATTTCATGGTCGAAAGCTGGGAACACGGAAGGTTTACCGAGCTTATCCCGGGGGAACTCATCGGAGCGGAAGTCGACCAATCTGGTGACTCGTTCGCTGGTCTCGCGACACGCTCGAGGATGTTTCCGGGCGCGATGAAAATCTTTTCCGGCGGGGCTTTTCGACGAACACACGGGTGACAACCACGCACTCCGCTAAATCGCAATTTTCCCTGGCTGCCGTCGGCCGCCGCGAACAAAAGCTTTCTTACCGTTCGGCGGGTAAGAGAGCAAAGGTCGAGGGGTCGGGTCGTTCTGCCAATTTTCCTGCCTCGGACTCGCCCTCGCCTCTTCGTTTTTCCCTTCCCGACTGGATTTCAACTTTCAATCCCTGCGGAGACGCGAACGGCCAACTCGGGCCACTCGACTCTGTCCCGAAACACTTGAAAACTTCCGTTCGCGAACAACGACGTTCGTCGGAGCGCCGAGATCCTATCTACACATATTGACGGTCGCCGAAGAGCTTTGAAAAAAAAATCCGCGCGCTGCTTGGGGAAAACCGTGCAAATTTAATTGGTAAGACGAATATTTCTTTATAATCGAGGAAAGGTAATTGCGCTCGACGCGGAAAAAGGGTCGAGCATCGAGCCACGGTCGATCTCGTTTCGTTTCGCGTTTTTTCTTTTTTTTTTTATTCCATCCATCGATTCTTCTTTACAAGAGGCCGGCCGTGCGAGCGGAAAGGAATTAAACTCGCATTTTTCAAGAGAACGTTCGCCCGGGCTCGCGAGATTTCCCGACGTTCCGGCTGGCCGGGCTTTAAAAGCTTTCGCGATCGACGATCGGGCGTCATCGGTCGGCGGAAAATTTGTGACCGGCTGACGACGCGGAAATAGGAATTAATTCGTTGCCTGTCGGGGCCTCCGCGCGAGGACTCAATAAGGAACGAGGCGATAAACTACACTGGTTAAAATTCACCGGAAAAATCGCCTCCGACCGCTCTTTCATAATTCAAACTCCGAATCACGGTTCCGACTCGAATAAAGATTTTTCGAACACCTTTTTCTTCGCCGATCAACGACGAGATCGAACTTCGCTTTTATTTATTCTCCTGCCAATAGACTTTACGTCGTTTCGTCGAAAGACGCCTTCAAGATTTTTCTCTCTTCCGTTCTGTTCAGGTAAAATTTATTTGGCTCGGAATCAGAACGCGTGTTATGCACAAGTGCCCGTAGGTGTGCGGTCGCCTTACGTCATTTCGTGGGAAATCGATCTACGAGAAATTGGCTGGGCTTGCGGAAAGGGGCGCGCACTTCGCGCCAACCGGAGGTGGGGACGCGTAAATCGGTCGAAAACGGAAGCGGAACGGAATACGTGGGTTCGCGAGGCCGGTGAAAATCGGAGAATGAAATTCGATACGGAGAAAAGCGGTCCAACGCGGTTAAAAAACTGTTTTCCTTTGGAGGAAGACTCCATCCCGCGAGAACCGACGAGTTTTCACGGGATGAGTTTTTCTTAAAATTCTCGTTCAAAGGCCCGGCCGGAAGGCACGGAATCGGGGAATCAAGAAATTAAAGTTATATAGAAGACCAGAAGAAAAATTGCTTCGTTTCGCGCCACAGAAATTTCTTCTTCTCGAGGAAAGAAGTTTACGTAGCCGTGAGAACGTACCTACGTCGGCCGAGTCCAATTTTTGTACAGCGGAGAATGATTAAACTCGCGGGCTTCGATCCCTCGTTAAAGCTTTCTGAAATGTTTCAACTTCTGTCGGTGTTTTAATTAACGGACGCACCGTTGCGGAATCTATTTTTCCGTGGGCAAACTAAGAAACTAAATTCGAGAACGAAAACATTTTCACTTTTGAGAGTCAGACGAACGACGAGAC